TTACAATCCCTCACCCACCTCCATCAATACCCGCACAGCCCCTTCCGCGGTCAGAATGAGGTTGAATCTGACACAGCCAGCACTGAAGCTGTTCCTGCTCCTCCTGCGCGTGTAAAATCGCGCATGACATGAAGCTCTCTATCGTTCCTGCGGTAGAAGGAAGTGAGGCGACTTGCGCGATATTTTCCCCAGACCAGCGTGCTTCATTCTTATTGATGCTTCATGACTTACTGGTCACTGGTCACTGGTCACTGGTTACTGGTCGACTTGACGCTTAATACTGTGCAGTACAGGTTGGAGGAGGACCGAGTTATCCGAGCAGGGCTTCCTCGCGAGGTTGTCTGCCGCGGCTCCGTACGTTTGCTCGATTAACGACCAACTTACTGTAGATATCACGAGCCTCTCAGTAATCCACACCTCACCTGTGACTGATTGACCGGTAATAGAAGAACCACCCGTCATCCGTGCCAGACCACCTGGACCAGCTACTTACTCTTCTCAGTACCGGGACCTACCTACTTGGTAGCTAAGGCAGGGTCTTTTGGTCTCGACTGGTCTTTCCTTAGACGAGTTGATCCAAGCGGCGGCAATTCCATCATCGCAGGACCCATTCTTCCTTATCCTCGAACATCCTTAATTTCCTCTCGGTCTCCACGGGTGTGATACCCAATCTACTATGTCGATTCTAGCTCCAACGACCTCGAGAGATGGAGTACGTACGTACGTACGGTGCACCCACCCATTCTAAGGAAAGAGGGTCGTCGCGGCTCAAGCACCACCTCACGGCAGGCAGGCAGGCAGGCAACTATTTTCCCTGCAGGTCTTTCTTCTCAAGATCCAACTAATTAATTTTCTTTGTCCATCGAAGTTCCCTACGGACCCTCTTGCTTCCCGCGCGCTCATTGCCGCCGCTAAAGGCATTAATTCGGCTCCCCCCCAAAAAACACAAAAACCAAAACAAAAAAACAAAACAAACAAACCACTTTTCCCACTTGTTCTCGGGTCCGTGCTGGGGGAAAATCTTCAATTCTTCCCACTTGGTCGACTATTTTTACACCGACTTTCTACCGTACCATCTGATATACGGTGAGAGAAGAGCGAATCACCAGAGCACGGAGCACACGATGTTCGTCTTCATGGTTCTCGATGACGTCTAAGTTAGTCTCTGTCTCTAAAGGTAGTCTCCAGGAAAATAAAAAAAAAA